TGTCTGCAAAGCCCCCCTAGAGGAGGTTGGAAGGAAATGAGGCAGCCATTAGACACCTATGAAGACCCCAAACTCCTATTCAAGCCCCTGAGCCAGGTGGGAGGTACACCTGGGTGGTCCAAACTAGGCCCAGGCTGATGACCTCACCCAGATGGGCTTAACCCAGCCAATGGAGTCAACCAATACCTTCAACCACGCCTCCCCAGCCAGAGGATTTAAATATACTGGCTATGGGAAGGCCGGTCTCTTTTTACCCTGCTCCTGGTCAGCAAGTTGGAGGGAGGGGTGCACACGCGCTGCCCGGGAGTGCCCCCTCAGGGTCTACTTGGGGTCTACATATGCCCCCTCGGGGCCTACTCAGGGCCCACAGCCTCTCTCCCAGCCCTAGTACTCTCCTGACACAGCCTTTCTGGTCCCTTCGCTCTCTGGCCCGTTCTGCATGTGTGGGTGCCCTTTTCCACCAGGTTGCTCGTGCCCAGTTGTGAATCCCTTTGAGACTGTAAAACCTGAAACTTGTCCTGTCCTTCATAAAAACCCACTTGGATTACAAAACAGGCTTCGGTGTGAATGCTTTCATCGGGCGAAGCCAAGAACGGAAGTCTTACCCCCTCACGAAACTTTACTTGTCCAGAGTCAGGGCTCAGAATGTGACCAGGGACAGGTTCCAGTATATTTCCATGGAGAGGTGTGTGCGTGTCAGTGTGTGTCCAGGGTCAGGGCTCAGAGTGTGACCAGGGCCAGGTTCCAGTATATTTCCATGGAGGGGTGTGTGCGTGTCAGTGTGTGTCCAGGGTCAGGGCTCAGAGTGTGACCGGGAAAGACACACTTTGTGATCAGGGTCAGGGCTGTCTTATCCAAGGTCTCCTGAGCCCAACTCTAGCTGACCTCATCGGTCTCATTCCTCTCCCCTGGCCTGAGCCACGCCTGCTCCCTGTGTACCGAGGAAGCAGCACCTCCCCTGCCCAGTACTGGCTCTGCCCCCACTCCTTAGCTCAGGGCAACAGGCAGCCAGAGAAGCATCTGCCAAGCCTGGCAGCCCAGCTCCCCAGCCTCAAGCAAAGGATCAGAACCCCACAGGCTCTCTCCTCGCTGGTCCCTGCCCTACAGCAGCCCCCCTGCCTACTAATGTCCCCCAACCTGTCAGTGCTGCTGCTTTCCTGGCCCCTGCTGTGTCCTGATGGACAGGTCTCTTTGTGCCAACCCGGGAGACAGATGCCAGGCACTGCTCAGGCCCCAGGACCACGAGCCAGGCCCAGGCCAGCCAGGGAGAGCCTGAGCCTTTGTCCAGAAGACTTGGGCGTGGAACCCGTCTTGGAGCTGCAAAGCAGGGGTACTTGCTGTCTCTAAAGACTGGACACCTCTTCCCAGGCAAGAGACCAAGTCATTCTGGCCCTTGGCCACAGACTGTCTGATCAGGACAGACCTGGGATAGCTTGGAGGCCAAACCTTACATCCTGGCCATGGGAAAACTGAGGCTTAGAGGGTTTGGCCCGGTCTGGGAGTGGTGGTTACGTTCTGGGCTGCTAACCACGAGGTCAGCAGTTTGAAACCACCAGCCACTCTTTAGGAGACAAATGAGGCTTTCGACTCCTGTAAAGATTGACAGTCTTGTAAACCCACAAGGGCAGTTCTACCCGGTTCTATAGGGTCACCAGGAATAAGAATCAACTCGATGGCAGTGAGTGTGGTGTTTGTTGTGTTTGGTCCTGGAGAAGGGGACCATGGAGCTTAGCGCCAAAGAGGAGGAGGGAGGCAGCCTGGGGACGGGAGTGTGCCTGGGTGGGCGAGGACAGGGCCTGCTCCGAGCATGGAGATGTCTAGCAGGGGTGAGCAGAGTGGGAGGTGGAGTATGTTGGTGGGGGAGTCAGGAAGGCCAGTTCAAACTCCCCTAGGCCGGGCCGGGAACCCTCTTGGCCCTGGGAGCAACAGGAAGCCACGAGAGGGCTCAAAGTAAAGGCTGTGACAGGAGAGGGGCAAGATCAGAGGTACAAGAGCAATTAGAAGGTGCGGTCATCTCTCAGGGAGCGGTGGAGCTCCCTGGGAGAGAAGTAGCCAGATGTGAGAGGCAGGAGAAATGGACAAGCCTTGGGGGTCAAAGGATGTGATCCCTGATGCCAGGAGCGGGGAAAGGACACTGAAGGAGGAGAGCTAACGCAGCAGTGAGCTCCAGGTGGAACAGACAAAGAAGAGTGGCCACAGAGGAAGAGATCCCAGAGAAGAGAGGGCTTCAGTAGAGCAGTCACCAGGGACTGGCACCATCAAGAGATCCCATGGGATGAGCTGCCCATCGACACAGGGCCAGGCCCGTGTGACTTTTGAGAAAGTTGTTCCGGCCCAGTCAGATTGGAAGGCAGTTGGAGAGTTGAGACGGAGAAAAACTGAATCACACAGTGAGCCAGTGCGTGTGGGGCCGCCTGGGTAGGGGGGCTCCCATCATCACTGGACTCAAGGCTCCTATAAGGGGTGAAGTGGACATGCCCCAAACAGGGGAGTCTTCATCTTTGGACCAGCTGCCTCTTTAATTCTTCCATCAATGGGGCCCACTCCTCACCCAGCTCCCCTCCCTGGGACTGTCTGCTGGGAAAGTCTGCCTGCCTCTGCCCGTGGGCACCAAACCGAGACAGGAGGGCAGAGAACTGGGGGGTGGGGGGGAACGGACCAAGGCCTCCTGAGCCCCATCTGAGGTGAGCAAAATGGGGTGGCAGAGACCTCTTCCTAGAGCAGGGAATGCAACTGGGCTGTTAAGCTTAGACCCCCCTAACAGGAGCTACAAAAAGATGAATCCAAAAGAATGAGGCATCAGTATATTTAAAGATATGTGTGTGTGTAGAGAGAGTAAAAGCTCTTGCTGTGTATACAGTAATATTTTATAGTCTTATATAGTATAGATATTATATATATTTACACTATATACCATATATGACATGGTGGTGTCATGATCACACGTTCAGCTGCGACCTGCATGGTTGGGAGTTCGAAACCACCAGCTGCGCAGGGATCAGCTGTTGGGCTCTCTACTCTTGTGAACAGTTACAGGCTCGGAAACCCACGTGTGGCTGAGTCAGCGTTGACTCTCTGGCCGTGGTTTGGCTGGTATATGTACATTTCACAAAGCTTGTGAAAAACGGGAATGAAAAGATGGCATTTCCCAACAAACGTTGTGTGTGTGTGTGTATGTGTATTTTTAAGCACCGAACTGAAGTATTCATCATGAGAAAAACGAAAACTT